TGCCTTAGAATGAGGTGAGGAGAGGGACCCCACGCCATGCAAGGATATCTCAGACATTTTATTGCCATGTTCTGAAGCACCTGTTAATCATAGAGTAATAACAGTATTCTTCCAACCTACATCTCTACTAAAAATACTATTAAAGCAAACATTATAGGGTGATTTAGGATGCATATTATTATTTGTTGGCTAGGGTATTATTATTTTTTAAAAAAATTTATTCCTTATTTCCACTCAACCTGTCTGGTGAGATATGTTAAAGAAGGGAGACATCCATGACATTGGCAACTATCGCCCGATCTGCCTATTGTCTGTCATCTACAAGTTGTTCACTCGAGTCATCCTGAATAGGATTGGCAGAACACTAGATGAAGGACAACCATGTGAGCAAGCAGGGTTCCGCAAAGGATTCAGCACCATCGACCATATCCACACGATAACCAAACTCATTGAGGTTTCTCGGGAGTTCAAGATGCCGCTCTGCTTAACGTTCATTGATTTAAAGAAGGCCTTTGATTCTGTTGAGACGGAAGCGGTCATTGAAGCCCTAGCCAATCAGGGCATTCAAGCCCAATACATCAGGATCCTCCGTGAGCTGTATTGCGGATTCACTACCAGGATCTCACCATTCTACAAAGAAGTGATCGTTGATGTCAAGAGAGGGGTGCGGCAGGGTGATACCATTTCACCAAAACTCTTCAGTGCCACCCTCGAGAACATCATGCGACGACTGGAATGGGAAGGAATGGGAGTGAAGATAGATGGTCGGCAACTACACCACCTCCGCTTTGCTGATGACATTGTTTTAATAACACCAAACATCAGCCAAGCGGCACAAATGCTGGCCGACTTTGACCGTGAGTGTGGAAAGGTAGGACTACAGCTGAATCTTACGAAGACAATGTTTATGAGAAACAGCCTTGTTCCTGACGCCCCATTCGCTCTCAATGGAACGACCATCTCCGAATGCAACAGCTATGTGTACCTAGGTCGAGAGGTCAACATGACAAATGACCTGGCACCCGAGCTGCGCAGGAGGAAGAGAGCGGCTTGGAACGCCTTCAAGAACGTCGAAGAAATAGCTAAGAGGACGAAGAACCTCCGGCTCCGGGCACATCTCTTTGATTCCACTGTTCTTCCTGCATTAACATATGCCTCAGAGACCTGGGCCCTACGCAAACAAGATGAGAACGCCATTCAGGTCTCCCAAAGAAGAATAGAAAGAGCTATGCTTGGAATATCACGTTTCACTCAAATGAGAGAACGAATCCGGAGTTCTGACATCCGTCGACGATCAAGGATCAGGGACGCTGTCTCATTTGCCAAGGTGTCGAAAATCAGATGGGCTGGTCACGTAATGAGATTTAAAGACGACCGTTGGACTAGAGCTGTTACTGATTGGATTCCACGGGATGTCAAGAGACCGCGTGGCCGCCCACCTACCAGATGGTCAGACTTCTTTGTCAAGGTCATGAACGATCGGTTTGAGGCCCTCCATGTTCCCGGAGCGAAGAGATGCCATTGGGCTACACTAGCACGCGACAGGGACAAATGGAGACGTTACTGGCGCCCGCTCGAGCAAATCGACGACTAACGGGAAGTTAAGTGATTAAGTGATTCCACTCAACCTGTCTGGTGAGATATGTTAAGGATACCCAAACAAATAGTTTGCCTCCTCGGATCATTAGTAGTTGATCCTGTGGGAGGAAACAGGAACTTTCTCCTCACTCCTCTGAATTTTTCTCACACTGATTGGGCAGTCATTAACATCAGGCAGATTAATAGGAGAACGGAACAAATTTAATTACATACCTATGGACATTCTACATGGCTACAGATTCTAAAACCAATGTATCCAGAGAGTGTTTATATCCTGAACTGAGGAGTGGCATAGGGGTCTGGGGCTATTATAGAAAGTCAGTAGGGGATTGTGATTATATTTGTATAGTAGTATTGTTCATTTCTTTCATGGAAATTTATGATGACATTAAAAAGGCAATGATCCCTTATCTATCCTATTACCACTATTACAATGGTTGTTGGAAATGATGACAAGAACTGAGTGCTGGAAGTAGGTAGAGGGATATTCATGATAGCCTTTCAATACCTGTACTGCAAATCATAATGCCCCAAATGAAAGAGAGACAGAGACAGAGATGAAAAGTACCTGCCATAAAGGCAGATTGGGGGTGGGGGTGGGGGAAGCAGGGAACCTGAGGACATTGGTGGTAGGAAATGTACACAGGTGAACGGTGGAACATTGTATGATCGAAACTCAATCATGAACAACATTGTAACTATGTATCTCACAGTGGTTTAATAGAAATCAATCAATCAATAAAGAAAGAAAGAAATGATGACCAGGTCTATTTCATAACAGGTTTGGGTTGCTGGAGCACCTAATGAAGGGCAAGCCAGTCAATCCTATTTGCTGAAACAGAGGGCATGATACTTTAGTATTCATCAGAATAAAGCCCTGTTGTTGCTCTTAAGGATTTATGAGGAAACAGTTTTTGGCGACCACAGAAGAATGTGTGTGTGGCCTGGAGGGAAAAAATTAGGTCAGCAGCCAGTAGACACAAAGACGTGTTTAACTTATTAACATAATTGAAAAATGTGTGATCGTGGCCTACATTCTCAGACCACAGAGAAATTCCAAAAGGGAGAAAATGCTTCCCAGTATAGTAAAGGGGATGCTAATCACAATTACTTAGCTTAGTGGGTGGTTTTGAGCATCTAATGAAATAATGCTGGGAGAATACTTATCATGGGGTGGGCACATAGAAGTGTTCAGTGAGTATTAGTTAACGTATTTTCATTTACTTCTCCTTGTTTCTGGTTTGGAAGAGCATTATTTCAGTAAAACTAGCCCAGTTTCAACTGACAATTGTTAGCTGAACATAAGCTGACTTTGGGATGCTCTGAGACACTTGATCCAAAGAACCTAGTAGGGAACACAATTCCAGGCTGTCTAGTTGATTCAGAAAACCACCAAGTACACTGTCCAGATGTAGAATTTGCAATGTCATAGAGACTAAGAGTGCTTGTTCACATTGACAATGATGTTGGTCTACGAAAATGTGGTAACACAATGTCAGTTTACATTGAAATCTATTTCTTCTTCCCTCCTTTGCTTTCTCTTTATAAACTAAATGTTTCCATGGTATTAGTCCCAGTTTAATTTGACCAGAAGAGGGCAGTATTGTATACTTATCTTCTGTTCACCCAAAACTGTGAAACGTTTGAATTATGAAAATGCTTTCTCTCAGAACGGTAAGAAAATGGATCATCTTTTAAAGTATGGCAACAGTAAATATACCTGAAATGCATTTAAAGCATCTCCTGTTTAATCATAACACTTATGTTTTATCAAAACATCTATGAAACATTTCTTTCACATTTTAATATCCCTCAAATTGGGGTGCATTTTACAATTGTCATTGACATAGCGTCGATAAAATATGGTAGCTATTGAAGTTTAGTGTAATAAGGCTGTAAAATCATACTCCATTAAAGAGTGCTATTTGATAAAAAATGAATTTGGAGAGCTGATGGAAAAATTAACAAAGTATTTATAATTTCTTACCCTAAATAAAATGAAAAGTCATTTGAAAAAATGCAGGGGAAAGTATATGAAAAATTTACTTGATGCATTTAGTCTCAAAGATATTTATGACTCAGAATCAAGTGACATTTAATTGCTACTCAGGTTGTAGTAGCATTTAAATAATTTTTGGTTGGTATGTAAAGCAGTGAAAATCTCAATGCTGTTAATTTGCTCTGCCCTCTTTAAATACATTATCTCCCTTGAATCATCAAGTAGAATTTGCAAAAGTTTTATATTCCTCCAGTTCTTGTGATTGCACTTCAGTTACAAGTGATGAAACCCAATCTAGCATAGAAGTGACCATTCATTTAGTTCTAGCCCTCACCAATAACCCCTGCTGGATTTTGGAGGAGCAGAAATTCTGTTATCAACAGAGATACTCTGGGAAAAAAATGGGAGTCGCTGGAGAACTAAAGCTTTGGCGACAAAACTACTGTCCCCAGAACACAAAATCTTGTGGTTGAATGGAGGGTTGGGAATAGACATAGCCAGAAGAGAAAGTGCTCATCCCTGAGGAAGTGCTCTGACATGGGTTACAGTTCATACTGTTACTGTCTACATGCTTGGCATTAAGTAAATCATGGAAGCTTTCTGAGTTCAGTTTCCACATCTGTAAAATTAATAAGGACATTTGGGTGGCTCCTTTAAGCCTCTATGGCATTTGCTCTTAGCATTATTCATCTGGAACAGTGCCATTGTCTGCCTCTTGTCCTATTTCATGAGACTTAATTCCCCTAAAACTAAACTCTGAAAAACACCGAGTTCTCATCTCTATGTACCCCTAACCCCAGCAGTTGGATTGATGCTATTAATTAAGCAGGTACTAAATCTTTGCAGCCTTGAATTGGCTTAAATTAGATGCTAGCTAAGGTACCTTTCTATGACATTGTCTTTGAAGTGGGTGGGAAATGCTACCACTGGGTAGTAGCCATATTGCCAGGTCAGCAGGCAGAGTTTGGAAGCATGGGGATCAAGTTGCTACAGCTAATAGATTGCACCCATAGTACATCTAGCAAGACCAGCTCTTCTCAGAGTTAGCCGTGCACATGCGAATGCTCAATTACTCTTCAAGACCCAACAGGAGGGCTGGAGTGATAGCACAGAGGGCAGGGCATTTGCCTTGCATGCAGCCAATCCAGGTTTGATTCCTAGCATCCCATATGATCCCCTGAGCACCGCCAGGTGTAGTTCCTGAGTACAGAGCCAGGATTAACCCCTGTGCATTGCCGGGTGTGACCCCCCCCCCCAAAAAAAGACTCAACAGGAGAGGTGTAGCAAGATGAGGAGAGGAAGTCCAATGCAAAGAAGTTAACAGTCAAAATTCTGGGTGTTGAACACGGGTTTGGCAAGTTATTTCTTCATGATGGTGAGAATGCTCTGTTTAAATTTACAGATCTGGAACCTCCTAGAATCAAATGCCCAAGTGTGAAGGAACGCATTGCTGAACCCAATAAGCTGACGGTCCGTGTGTCCTGGGAGACCCCTGAGGGAAGAGACACAGCAGATGGCATTCTAACTGAGTAAGTGCAGCATGGCAGATACTTTTATTCTCTCTCTCTCACCCCCCTCCCTTAGGGATATAAGGTTTGTATTACTGTTACTGAAAGGTTAATATATATGTATATATATTATTCCTTTACCTACTTTCAACACTCAGTTCTTGTCCAGAGTGATCATTTCTTTTTTTTATTTTTGGGTCACACCCGGTGATGCACAGGGGTTACTCCTGGCTCTGCACTCAGGAATTACTCCTGGAAGTGCTCGGGGGACCATATGGAATGCTGGGAATCGAACATGGGTTGGCCGCGTGCAAGACAAATGCCCTATTGGCTGTGCTATCACTCCAGCCCTGAGAGTGATCATTTCTATTACTGTCATATTGGTCCCTTCTCTATCCTAACTGCCCTTTGTCCCCCACCACACACTTGTGGCAAAATTCCAACCATTGATCAGTTCTCCTGGCCTCTGTTTTCCCTGGCCTTGGATATTAATCTCATACTATTTTTATTGGAGTCGTTACTGGTGCCCGCTCGAACAAATTGATGAACAATGGGAAGACAGTGCTACTATTTTTATATCTCACAAATGGCTGTAGTCATTCTATATGTCCCCCTCCTTCTGACTCATTTCACTTAGCATAATACTCTCCATTTATAAGAAACTTTTAAGACTTCTTTTTTTCCTAACTACTAAGTAGTGTTCCATTGTGAAGATGTACCATAGTTTCTTTAACCAATCGTCTGTTCTCGAGTACTCAGGCTGTTTCCAGATTCTGGCCATTGTGAATAGTACTGCAATGAACATAGCAGTGCAGATGGCATTTCTGCTTTATGTTTTTGGGCCCCCAGTTTATATTCCCGAAGTTATATTGTTGGATCAAATGGGAGCTCAATTTCTAGCTTTTTGAGGAATACTCATTTATTTTCCAAAAAGGCTAGACCAGTCAGCATTCCCACCAACAATGAATGAGAGTCCCTTTCTCACCTTTCATCTGTGCCAGCACTGGTTGTTCTTGTTCTTTTGGATGTGTGCCAGTCTCTGTGGTGTGAGATGATATCTCATTGTTGTTTTGATTTGCATATCCCTGATGATTAGTGATGTAGAATATTTTTTCATGTACCTTTTGGCCATTTGTATTTCTTCTTTGAGGAAGTTTCTTTTCATTTCTCCTCCTCATTTTTGACGGGGTTGTTTTTTTTTCTTGTAAAGTTCTGCTAGTGCCTTATATACCTTTGATATTAACCCCTGGTCAGTTGGGTATTGGATATATAATTTTCCCATTCCATGAACTGTCTTTGTATCTTGGTCACCATTTCTTTTGAGGTGCAGAAGTTTCTTCTTAGTTTGATGTAGTCCAGTTTGTTTATCTTTGCTTCCACTTGCTTGGTCAGTGATGTTTCATCATTTATCAAGAAGCATTTTGGTTGTTTCCATAGCTGAATTAGAGAAATAATGCTTCTATATTTATATATAGATAAAACTTTTGTGCTAATGTTTTTGTATTCTTTAGCTAAGTACCCGAAATTGGGATTCTGTGGTATCCAGTGTGTTGCTAGATTATTCAGAGCAATTGTTTTAAAGCACTGTAGCACTGTTCTCCCGTTGTTCATCGATTTGCTCAAGCAGGTCCAGTAACATCTCCATTTTGAGACTTCTCGTTACTGTGTTTGGCATATTGAATACATCACGGGTAGCTTGCCAGACTTTGCCTTGTGGGCAAAGATACTCTCGGTAGCATTCTGGGCTCTCCGAGAGGGGCGGAACCGAACCTGACTCAGCTGCACACAAGGCAAACGCCCTACAGAATATCTTCTACTAGAAAATAGTTGAGCCTCTCACCCTTAGAGGCACATTTTGTTCCTACTACCTGGTAACATTTTGCCAGTGTAGCATCTATCTTGGGCAATATTACTTCTGTTCCCCATAGTAACTCCTCAAGATAAAGTTTGAGTATTCAGAAAATTATTTCTTTGTTGTCACAGACAGCTGTCACAAAGCTCTAAAGAGAAATGTTAGGCAGTTAGGATTAAAAACTGAATCATAGTTGACATGATCGGGGATTAGGTTTGATTTTTCTTTGAATCTTTAGGGGCCTCCCTTGATGTCTGACCCAGACATTAACACATTATAGGTTCTAAGATTTTTACTACCATGACAGGTATTGAATTCTATATAATAAACACAAAATATCCAGATGTCTATTTGTCTAGTGAGGACAGTCACTGTAACATTTTTGGCAAGTAACCGATATTATAGTTAGAAATGTGACACTGTTAATGAGAATCTTAGCAGCCCTTTACCTCTCTGTTCAAGGCAGTTCAGAGCTGCTTCTAAAGAGGATGTAATGGGGAGCATCCTTTGGCAAAATGAGGGAGCAGTGAGGGCTGTCTTGTTCCCTTTTGCTCCAACATTTCTCTTGTGACCCCCTTCCTCCATGCCTTAATCAAACCACAATTGATCATTTCATCTCCTTCAAAGAGAGAAGATTCGAGTGTCAAGTGCCCAGACAAGTGCTTCCTGTGACTTCTCTTATTCACTTCTGATGACTAATATGCATGCCAGTTAGAGATTTTTGAAAAAAGAGAATCCCCAAGAGTTTATCAGCCCCTTGTATTGGAGTATGACCCTCTCATGTTTATCTGCATTTTAATTGTGCTTACCAGGAACATACAGCCTTTTAGGCCCAATGCAACATGAGCCTAAATCCCCATCACTAATGGTGGGAATTCTGGCACGTTCCCAAGGCCCCTCACAGCATATGCTGTAAACAGCCACCTTGTCTACATATGCGTCAGGCTCTCTTCACTGGTGACAACGATAATTTTACGTATCCAGTCTAACAAGTACCCTCATAATTAAGAACAGTGGGGGCTGGAACAATAGTACTGTGGGTAAAGCGCTTGCCTTGCATGTGGCTGACCTAGGTTCAAATCGTGGCAACACAAATGGTCTTCTGAGCCTGCCAAAGTGAGCCCTGAGTGCAAAAACAAGAGTAAATCCTGAGCACTGCTAGTTGTGACCCCAAAGCAAAGCAACAACAAAAAACTCAAGAGAAAAAAATAATTGTATGTTGAAAAAAATGTGATTATGTTGTACCTATTGGTGTTCTTGTCAGACAGCCAAGAAGAAAGACACTGGAGGCCTTCCAGCTTTGTCTTGTACCAGCTCATGAATTCTTTGATCTCTCATCTGTGAAATGGAGATAATAATACCTATGTGACAGGGTTGTTGTCAGGGATAAACCAAATTATAGTAAATGCCCAGACCTGTGCTTGACATGTAAGAGCAAATAACTCTTATTCTTTTTATTGTAGGGATTATTATATTAGGATCAGCAGGGAATGACAGTGAACTTGCCCTTTGCTCAAGAAAGGTTTCCTCTGTCTTAATTTTTTTATTTGCTTTTTGGGGTCACACGGCGATGCACAGGGGTTATTCCATGCTTTGCACTCAGGAATTATTCCTGGCGGTACTCAGGGAACCATATGGGATGCCGGGAATGGAACCCGGGTTGGCTGCATGCAAGGCAAACACCCTACCCACTGTGCTATGGCTCCAATACCTTGGCTTAGATTAATTTTTAAAAGTTGAGAAAGTTCTCGTACCTGCTGCAGGCCCAGATTCCCAGTGACTACTTGGATAATATTTAAAAATGATTTTCCTTATAGGAAATGCCCTCATGTTCCCAACCACGAGACAATTCAAGGTCCCTTTTGAACAATGGTGGGATGGGTGAATAAACTGTGTTCTAGTTACTCAGTTTCCTCCAGCCTCCTCTTTTGTTTTTATTTGGAGAGGGGAGAAGAGGTTGGCACACATGCAGAAGTGCTCAGGGATCACTCTTGGTGGTGTTCAGGGGACCATATGTGGTGCCAGGAATTGAACCAGGCACAGTCACATGCCAAGCAAAACCATATTCTCTGTACTTCTTCACTATTGTTATAATCAAAGTTTGCTTAACTAAGCACACTGAGACAGAGATTTGGCAGAAAAACAAAGAGGTCTTTATTTGCACTTGCTGGCCAGATCAGGGTCCATTAGCTAGGCAAAGCACCTGAAGCTATTGGCCTGGGAACAGAGGTCTCAAGAGTACTTACATAGAGCATCTGATATAGGGCATGTGACTTTTTTTATCTGGCATGAGACAGACTGTAAAGTCATTGGCATCAAGTATAGAAATGACGTTGGAGATTATAGTACAGCCAGGATATCATAAGATATGGTTACATCAAAAGATGTTGGGTAAGCTTGGTTCCCCTGAAAGCAAGGGGGTTGTGTTTTTGTTGTTGTTGTTTTGTTGTGGTAGTTTTGGGCTTTTTGGGTCAAACCCGGTGATGTACAGGATTTACTCCTGGCTCTTGCACTCAGGAATTACTTCTGGTGGTGCTCGGGGGACCATATGGGATGCTGGGAATCGAACCTGTGTTGGCCGCGTGCATGCAAGGCAAATGCCCTACCCACTGTGCTATCGCTCCAGCCCCTCGAGGAGGTTGTGGTTTTGCAGTTAACAGCATTTACAAGTAAATTCTGAATTACACATTACACTATCTTTTTCTCTCCCTCCTCTTTTACTATTCTCTATCGAGAAAAATACATCTGAACATCCTAAGGAATTGAGAGCTTCCATTTTTTGTTCTCAGACTTCTCTTCCAAAGTAGAATAAAGAACAGGAAATTGGATTCTTCACAAAATCTTTGTTCTAGTCAAACTCACTTAATGTCTGTCCCCTGGGGTATTCCTGAATTCTGTGAGGAGTGCTCAATGCATGCCCATAACATTCATTTATGTTGTTTCTGGTTTTCCCCTCCTTTAAAGTGTTATTCTAAAAGGCCTTCCCCCAGGCTCAAATTTTCCAGAAGGAGACCACCAGATCCAGTACACAGTCTATGACCGAGCTGAGAACAAGGGTGTTTGCAAATTTCGAGTTAAAGTAAGAGGTAAGAATGTTTCTCACTAGCTTTCTCCCCTCTTGAGACAAGCCAAGGGCAGCAGGACCTTAAGCCAGAGCTTTCTGTGCGTGCCTGCTGCTAGCTTTGGATGAGCCTCTGGTGAACAGGTTTGGGGCTGTCACCATCTTCATACTCCCACTTAACAATTATAATAGATATGAGGCACAATTCTGGCAGATTGCTTAAGGAGTTTGAACTACTCATAAACTAGTCTTGCATGTAGACACGGCTGGCTAATGTGGTCCCAGAAAGAAGAGTATTCAATAACTTGTCCATTTCTGGGCTTAGGTGACCAGCTAAGCCAATGTGTCCTTTTATAACCAAGGTGGTTAGGAACATTCTAGTATGGGTCACCAGCATATTTTGTTGTGTTTCAGAACCTTTGATCGATCTGAAAAAAATGTGCCTAAGGTTTATTTTATGCCTCATAGTTCAGACATCACATTACTAACCAATTTACTCTCCCATGTTTCACCTCCTCATGTACATCACAGGGGTTAAGACAGTTTATCTTACTGTCTCATTAATATGAGAAGTGACCATTCCACGGTCTGCCCACTGGCCAGATAACACTCCTTGTGTCCTCACTCATCCTGCAGGCCAATTCCTGATTGTGAGGCTGGGGACCATGAGCCCTGACCTGAAACCTCCCCTGGTTTCTCTGTGCAGGGGGAGTTCAGCGCTGACATCCCTCTGGGCTTGTGTCCCTACAGTGAGACGCTGTGGCAAACTCAACGTCCCAGAGAATGGCTACATGAAGTGCTCCAGTGATGGCGATAACTATGGAGCCACCTGTGAGTTCTCCTGCATCGGTGGCTACGAGCTCCAGGGCAGTCCTGCCCGCGTGTGTCAGTCTAACTTGGCTTGGTCTGGCACGGAACCCACCTGCTCAGGTATGTGGCCAGCAGCCCAGCGCCCAGCCTGAAGCTGCCCTTGCTCCTGGGTTCCAATAGTGGGAGAGAAATTGCATACTCTTCACTGAGAAATAGTCTTCTCGTGGAGAAAACTAGTATCTGGATCCCTGCTGGAACTCAACTCACCCGCCTGTCTCATCTGCCTTGGCTGGTATGCTGATTTCTCTCTTTTTTTTTCTTTTTGGGTCACACCTGGCAATGCACAGGGATTACTCCTTACTTTGCACTCAGGAATTACTCCTGGCGGTGCTCAGGGGACCATATGGGATGCTGGGAATTGAACCCGGCAAATGCCCTACCCGCTGTACTATCACTCCAGCCTCTGATTTCTCTTCTTATGTGTGCCGAGGAAGGAACACCCTAGAGATGGGAGCCTAGGGTCAAAGAGTGCCATTAAGAATCAGCAGATCCAAATGTCACAGAATGGTAGGCCTGAGCCACAGAATTGAGTTGGATGGGGTGGTGAGAGGGAGGGGGTTGCGGTTCTTTCAGGGAAGGAGACAGGTATGAACAGTGATGGATATGGTATTGAAATTAAGTCCATGAGAAAACATTATTAATGTTATTGTAAAAACCCCCAGATTAAATTAAGAAATAAAAGAATCAACAGGGGCCAGAGATAAACCACAAGCATGGTTCTTGCCTTGCATGCGGCCAATTGGGGTTCAATCCCTGGCATTCCATATGGTCCCCTCAGCACCCCCTGGAGTGATCCCTGAGCACAAAGCCAATAGAGCCAGGAGTAAGTCCTGAGCACTGTCAGGTGTGCTCTCCAAAAGCAAAGAATCAGCAAAGTGTCCTCCAGTTATCCTTGTTCCTCCCTGAATCTAAAAATGATTTTTGAAAGTCAGTCAGCTACCATGCACAGACAAAGAAATGCCTGCTTTTGCTGCACTGGCTTGAATGTCACACAGACTTTGCACATTCAGAATACTGTCTCCTGTGTCAGCAAGGAATACCTTATGTACTGGGATTAAATGAGGTCATCTATTGAACTGTGGAACTGAGCAGTGCCCAGAACGAAAGGAACTCTCAGTACATGTCAGCTATTATTTAGAGGAACAAAATTCGAACTGAGTAGCAATGATAGAATGAAATTTGGATTAGTCAGAAATTTCTGGATATAAGTCTAAATTTACATAACTTACTTTTTTCCCTTTGGTTTTGGGGCCTTAGCCAGCAGTGCTCAGGGCTTATTCCTGGCTCTGTGCTCAGGGGTCACTCCTGGTGGGCTCATGGGTCACACAAACATAAATGTAATGTTTGTGAATGTTTTGGGTCGCACAAACAGAAGCAGAATGTTTCAGGAATTGAGCCTGAGTTAACCACGTGTAAGGTAAGCTCCCTACCCCCGTACTATCTCTCCAGCCCCCACTTCTCCCCCCTTACTTCTTGGTCTTTTCTCATCTTTATGCTTTCCCTTTAATCACATATATTCAGAAGAAGGTGTGGGGGAGCAGGCAGAGGCAGGAAGGTAGGGAGAGATACTTGAGAGGGGGCAGGGTACTTGAGAGGGAAACAGAGTTATACCATCAGCTACATGCTTGGAGGGGGCTTCAGTTGCCTTTACTCATACACTAAAGTAAGAAGAACAAACATTTGCTTCCCATGAGGTAGAGAAAAGAATTTGCCACCCCTACAGATGGTCACATCCTAATCTCTTGAACCATGGGCATGAAAAAAATAGTAGCACTGTAGCACTGTCCTCCCATTGATCATCGATTTGCTCGAGCGGGCTTTGCCGTGTGGGCGAGATACTCTTGGTAGCTTGCCGGGCTCTCCGAGAGGGATAAGAATCAAACCCGGGTCCGGAAGAAATAGTGATTAAAAAAATTGTTTTAACTTTTGAGTCACACCCAGCGTTGCTCAGGGCTTACTCCTGGCTCATGCACTCAGGGATCAGACCCGGTTGGGATGATATGGGATGCTCAGGATCGAACCCGGGTCAGCCGTACGCAAGGCAGGTGCCCTAGCCACTGTCCTATCGTTCTGTCCCCACAAAGTGGTAATTAAGTTAAGGACTTTGAAATGGGGAGCCAGCATGAATGATCCAGGTGGGCCCAAAGTAACCACAAGCCTCCTAATAAGCATGCCACAGGACGCTTAGAGTCAGAGAGGAATGGAGGAGCCAGAAGAGATTTGAAAATGCTCCACAGCTGGCTTTGCAGACTGTGGAAGCATCCTCAGTCAAACCATGCATGTGGCCTCTAGATGCTGCAGAAGGTAAAGGAACAATAGATTTCCCCCTAGAGTTGCTGGGTTCAGGGAGATAGTTCTGGCAACACTTTGACTTTAGCCTAGTGAGGCCCATTGCAAATTTCTGACCTCCCGGACAGTAAGAGAATAAATATGTGTATTAAAACACCTAGTTTGGGGGCTGGAGTGATAGTACAGCAGGTAGGGCATTTGCCTTGCAGGTGGCCGACCTGGGTTCGATCCCTGGCATCCCATATGGTTCCCTGGCATCCCACACAGTCCCCTGGCACTGCCAGGAGGAATTCCTGAGTGCAGAGCCAGGAGTAACCCCTGAGCATTGCTGGGTGTGACCCAAAAATCAAAGAAAAAAAACACCTAGTTTGTACAGGCTTATGATTGCAGCCATAGGCAATGAATCCACAGCCCCACTCTACTAGTATTGCTTGGTGCTATCTCATGATTCAGCTGCTATCCGTGGAATGACACGTGTTTGAACTGTGAGCCCATTTACACATACATGGACTATTTCCCACACCACGTTTTTGGTTTTTGGTTATATTGATTTTTGTGATTTTTTTTTGGTATGGGGAAGTTTTAGGTCAGACTTCCAGGTGGTTTTTAGGGATCACTCCTGGTGGTCATTCCAGGAGTTCCAGGGATTAAGCCAGGGTTAGTCATGTACAGGGCAAGTAACTTAATCCCTGGACTATCTCTCCAGCCCCACACATGGATTCTTTACTTTTTTAAAGATATTATTATTCAATCATTGTGAGATAGATCTTTACAAAGCTGTTAATAATTAGGTTTGAGTCATACAATGTTCCAACACCCATCCCTCCACCAGCGTACATTTCCCATCACCAGTGTCCCCAGTTGCCCTCCCATCACCTCCCCCTGACATGGATTATTTTCTATCTTTATGGTTCTGCATTCAAGGATTTAAACATACCCTTCCCTGAGCAGTAATAGCCCACTGACTATTATCTCAGGGTTTTAAGCTGTGTAAGAGTGGTGGGGGTGTGGGCCAGAGCGATAGTACAGCAGGTAGAGTGTTTGCCTTTCACATGGCCTACCCAGGTTCAATCCCCAGCATCCCATATGGTTTCCCAAGCACTGCCAGGATGAATTCCTGAGTGCTAGAGCCAAGAGTAACCCCTAAACATCAATGGTGTGACCCAAAAATAAGCACTGTAGCACTGTCCTCCCATTGCTCATTGATTTGCTCGAGCGGGCCCAGTAACGTCTCCATTGTGACACTTGTTACTGTGTTTGGCATATCAAATATGTCACAGGTAGCTTTGCCGTGCGGGCGAGATACTCTCAGTAGCTTGCCGGGCTCTCCGAGTGGGGTAGAGGAATTGAACCCGGCTCGGTAGGGCCAGTTGCGCGCAAGGCAAATGCCCTACCGCTGTGCTATTGCTCCAACCCAAAAATAAATAAAAAAAAATAAAAGAAGAGTGTTTGGGGTGGATGAGCACTCTATTTCTTTTGTTTTTTGTTGGGGCGACATCTGTGCTCAGGGAGGCCTCAGGGGACCAGATGAGGTACAGGTGATCCAGCCCAGGTCAGCCATGTACAAGACCAGAGCCTTACCTACTGTACTTTTCTCAATTCTCAGGTGGGCACTCCTAAACTATTCCCTTTCTTTTCTTTTTATATTTATTTTAATAAATATAAAAAGACCCAAGTTCGATTCCTCCGCCCCTCTCAGAGAGCCTGGCAAGCTACCGAGAGTATCTCACCTACTCGGCAAAGCCTGGCAAGCTCCTCGTGGAGTATTCAATATGCCAAGAAGAGTAACAACAAGTTTCACAATGGAGACGTTACTGGTGCCCACTTGAGCAAACCGATGAACAATTGGGAGAACAGTGCTACAGACAGTGCTACAGTGCTATTTATCTAATTTTTTAAAAAATTTTGATTTTTCTCTTTTTGGGTCACACCCAGTGATGCTCAGGGGTTACTCCTGGCTCATGCACTCAGGAATTACTCCTGGTGGTGCTTGGGGGACCATATGGGATGCTGGGAATCAAACCCGGGTTGGCTGTGTGCAAGGCAAACACCCTACCCACTTTGGTATCACTGCAGCCCCCCTATTCTTTTTCAAGGGCTCAGCTCGACTTAGACTTGAATCCTAGCCATGCAGTAGTAGTTCTGTGTGTCATTACAGGCCGAGTTGGAACAAGCAGTTTCTGACTCATCTAGTCACTTGCAATTGCAGCCATGAATGTCAACGTGGGTGTCAGGACAGCAGCTGCGCTTCTGGACCAGTTTTATGAAAAAAGGAGACTTCTCATTGTGTCCACGCCTACTGCCCGAAATCTCCTCTACCGGCTGCAGCTGGGAATGTTGCAGGTGAGTCCTGGCAGGGAGGCATGGAACAGGAAGATCTGAGTCATTTCCTTAGAAGCAGATTCAAGGCATAATGCATTTATTTACTGTGAGCTTCAGGGGACACTCTCGGTCTACCTCCATTCATTTCTGGTTTGTGGGCATAACGTGATTAACATTGACTCCTGTAGCTAGCCCGCTCCTTTTCCAACTAATGAGGTTGGTTTGTATTCACTAATAAGCTTAATTGACATGCTGTCCAGGCCAGCCAAAGAATTGCTTTGTTGAACCTGTCCAGGATATGCCTTGGCAGGCGGGGATCAATCAGTGGTTTGTCCCCAAGGAATGAGCAGTCAGGGAGCTCTCAGACCCCACACCCAGTCTTCAGAGAGTGACAGAACAGCTTTTGAATTTTTCTGTATTATCTAATTCAGAAGCACCTGGGAGCTTGTTAGCAATGCAAATTCTCAAACCCCATCCCTGACCAACTGGATCAGAATCTATATTTAAAAAAAACAACTTTCAAGTGATTTCTAAATATCTTAAAGATTCAGGAGCACTTTTCTAGGAACTTTGTTCTTCTCTGAGTGCATATTATACTTACAAAATGAATCAACTGGTGCTTTACCAAAAATAAATAAATAAAGATAAAAAACACTAGAAATGCAAAGTATCCATTTAGAACACTATAACATGCTTGATCTTTGTCATGAAGTAGGTTGATAAAAAAGTGGCTAACCTTCTAAGCTGCCAAAAAAGGGGGGTATGATGAATTTTATTAACTATGGTGTAAGATGCTTTTCATTTTCTGCGTGAATATTTCATTTATACAGGAAACAACTGTGTTTAGAGCAGACTTATTTTAATCAAAGGCTATAGTTTTACTTCTCATTTTAGCATTAATCCAATGGCTAGTTAAGTCTTTTCCAATCTTCTTTCTGTTCATGAAGGACTTCTTGTCAACTCTCGGGTGCCATACAAAAAGTTTAGGCTCCGTTGACAGAAATCTAGGTCATTGCCTCTTTTCATCTTTTTTATCATTTCCCAACCCCTGCCCTCTCAATTGTCATTCCTTTCCCTCCAGGTCTAAGCTAGGCAATTGCTTTTACATCACCCAAGCTGAGGCCACAGGCAACTCCACTTTTGTGGGAAATTATGAGGCTATATTCCATGATCATAATTTCCTGACCATATCTCATAGACAAATGAGTAGGCAAAAAATTTGCTTTCCCTCTGGGTTGACATACTATGGTTCATATGTCTAATCTGACCCACTGCTGTTTTTTGTTAGTAAACATCCACAATCACTCAGTCTTGTGAAGCCCAAAATTTTACTATCTGGGGCTGGAACGATAGCACAGCGGTATGGCGTTTGCCTTACACGCAGCCAATATGGCCGAATTCGATTCCTCTGCCCCTCTCAGAGAGCCCGGCAAGCTACCAAGAGTATCTCGCCCACGCGGCAGAGCCTGGCAAGCTCCCCGTGATGTATTCGATATGCCAAACACAGTAACAAGTCTCACAATGTTACTGGGCCCGTTCAAGCAAATCGATGAACAACAGGAGGACCGTGACCGTGATTCCATCATTCCTTAACACCACCTTTGTATTACATTTTTTTTCTTTATTGAATCACCGTGAGATACACAGTCACAATGTGTTGCATTTCCATTTTAACCAGAGTCTTCAGGAGAGGTTTTGCAAATTTGCACCATTTCTATCACCAGATGTTCAGTGGAGATGTGAACAAATAAAATTGAAGGCCAGATGAATAGTACTGTGTATGTTTCCTGAGCACAGAGCCAGGAGTAAGCTCTGAGCACAGCTGGGTGTGGCCCAAAAGACAAAAATTTGGGAATTTGAACTTTCTCATGTCACAAGATTTGCCTAATGTTAGGTTTTTGTTTCTTATTGCCATTACCGATGAGGCCTCCTGGCATTGAAGTTGAGTGGTCCCATTTCCAAGGCTCCTGCCAGTAACTCGTCAGAGGGCTGGAGCCTTTTCACTTTACTTCCCCCAAGTTTGGGTGTCATGAAGGTTTAAGGAAGGGATATGTGGAGAGTGGAAGCAAGGGCATAGAAGAAGCTTCTGGAAATAGTCTCTCCTTACAAAAACCAAATTAGAATCCTCTAAGTGTGGTCTCGAATACTTTTTAGGAAATTTGACTCATTGCAAGGTCTCACTCCATCTGGAAATACACAAGCTGCCATTTTTTTCCTTTTTTTATTTTTGGGTCACACCCAGCAGTACACAGGCTACTCCTGGCTCTGCACTCAGAAATTACTCCTGGCAGTGCTCAGGGGACCATATGGGATGCTGGGAATCGAACTCGGGTCGGCCGCATGCAAGGCAAATGCCCTACCCACTGTGCTATTTGCTTCAGCCCCACAAGCTGCCATTTTACTTTGGTTTTCAAAAATCCTATTTCCAAGCTCTTTCTGAATGATTCTTCTTGAAGGTCTTTATATTTACTGGTTTAATCCCATTTCCTCAGCTTTTCAGGACAGTTAGGAGTGGCTAAATAACTGTCCCCAAACAGGCCGGTGATGCTTCTGTCAGCCTGTGTTTTGACATGGAAGTCTCTATTCTGCAGTACTCAACGGCCACCTATTGTTTTTTTTTCTCCCCAGCAAGCACAGTGTGGCCTGGATCTTCGACATATCACTGTGGTGGAACTGGTGGGTGTGTTCCCGACCCTCATTGGCAGGATTAGAACAAAGATAATGCCTCCAGCCCTAGCTATGCAGCTCAGGTAAGGGGATGTCCTGTCTCTAATTCTGACCCCCTCATAAGGGGACTTGTTTGTTTCCTCATGAGCTTTCCTGATTAATTTCCATTCTGGTAATGATTGCGGGTATCCATCAACATTTAATAGCTTTTTTATCCATCAACATTTAATCGCTTTTATTCAGGGATATTATTTATTATAGCCATGCTAATTGGCATGCTGCTTTTTGTCCAAATAAATCACATAGTGGGTAATTACTCGGGTTAACTTCTTTCCCCATCGGGTTATTATTTTTGCTTGGACTTTGTTTTTCTGTTTGGGGTAGGAGAGGAACAAAAGAGTCTTTCAGAAGGACCTAAGAGATCTTTAATGCATATCAGGAGGGCAGGCATCCAATTACCCTTCCCAAGCCTCTTCTAAGGCACCATACCCCTATTTTAACAATTTTATTGTGATTACACTTATAAAGCCAAAACTGTGCTGTTCAGATTCTGATGAACATAATTCAAGATCCAAAATGTAATTCCGGAACAATCCAGTTTTCTTACATCTCTTGACCACTATGAAAATGATAATTAGACAAAGAAAAAACAGACAGAGAAAAACTGCTGAAAATCCTTTTTTACACATCCTCTTTTTTCTCCCACTGGAAAGGAAGGTACAGACCTCATTCTAGTTTTTCAGGATCCTGGTTGATGGCAATATTGTTGAAGCAACATCCAGATCATATGTTTTCCATATTTCTTCATAAAGGGAAGGGAATAAAAAATACATTGCTAGAGCATAGAGTTGGAATTGAAGGTAAGGTGTTGGCCTTGCATGCAGATAATCCTGGTTCAATCCTCAGGTTCTACATGTGGTCCCCATAGCCTCACTAGGAGTGATTCCTGAGAACAGAACTACACTCTGAGCACAGCCAGGTGTGACCTAAAACCCCCTACTCCAAAAAGGCCCATGTACTTCTTGCTTCATATTAGAAACAAAGTTGCGCATTCATGGTCCATTGTCCAGAACACATTACATATTTTTGATCAAGTTTCAAGGACTTCTAGAAAACTTAGTCTTTCTATATTTGCAGAATGAAAAAGCACTTGATAACTCTTATCACAGATGTTCAAGGGTCACAAAAATTCCTTGAGAGATTAAATGATAGAAATATATCATTAACACACATGATATTACAAATAGATACCATACCTTCTTTAATTTCATTTTCTGTTGTAAGGGCACACCCAGCAGTGCTCAAAGCTTATTCCTGGGCTCTGAGCTAAAAGATCACTCCTGACAGACTTGGGTGGACCATATGGGATGTCACCTACACTTCCTTCATGTGTTTTATTTTTTCAGGGATTGTAAGTGTTTAATAGATCTGAGCATATATTAATTCCAGTTTGGGTTAGTTTTTGTGGATGGTGTTTGATAATGGTCAGGATTAATTTGTTTAAATGTACTTGTCAGGATTATTCAAGAGATTTTTCTTTTTCCATTGTATGCGCTCATGCTGGTTTTTTTTTTTTTTTGCAAATTAATTGCCTAGGTATGTGTGGATATGTTTCTTTCCTCTCAATCCTGTCAGTACAATAAATACAATTGACATGTATATCTCCTATTATTGGAATTTCATGCTGCATTGACTACTATCATTTTATAAATGTAGTTTGAAGTTGTGGGGTCTGATAACTTCATCTGTCTCCCTCCAGATTGTTTTTTATATCCAGGGACTTTTGTGATTCAAAGCTTCATGATTTCTTGGGTTTCTGTGAAAAATACTGCTTGAATTTTTATAGAAATTTTTTTTCTTGCTTTTTGGGTCATACCTGGCGATGCACAGGGATTACTCCAGGCTCATGCACTCAGGAATTACCCCTGGCGATGCCTGGGGGACCATATGGGATGCTGGGAATCGAACCCAGGTCGGCCGCGTGCAGGGCAAATGCCCTACCCGCTGTGCTATCACTCCAGCTCCATATAGAAACATTTTAAAAGGCTTTATGTAAAATCATTTTAACAGTGCTGTTTATTTCAATTCATGAGAATGGAATAGCTTTCTATTGAGTTTCTCGGTAGGAAGCAGTGACTGTCCTCTGTTGCTACCTTTGTGACATCCAGACACCTCAGTTTTTTGTTTGTTTGTTTGTTTTCATTTTGTTTTTTTAGTTTGGGGGTTTTGTGAGCTACACCCAGTGGCTTTTACCAGCTCGGCTCAGGAGTGACTCCTGGTGGTGTTTGGGGACCGTATGTGGTTCCAGGAATTGAATCAAGGTTGGCAGTAAGCAAGGCAAGCGCCTTACCCTTTATATATACTAGGGAATACAGATGGTAATCTGACCTGTAATTTTATTTCTAACTCCATTGCTAGAATTTTCTAGTAATTTTTCTTTGAATAATATATATATACATACATACATGTATATATTCATTCATGTTTTAGTTCTCTGAGCTACTATAGTACTCCATATGGTGAGGATAATTTAAGCAACAAAAAGTTGCATAAATAAATCTCAGACTTAATCCCATGTCAAAAATTCTCTGGAGACTCCTTAAAACAGATTTTGGGGCACCACCCAGGATTTGATTTAGTAGAATTTCAAAGGGACTTGAGAATTTGCATTTCTTTTTTTTTGTATTTTGTTTTTTTAATTTTTTAATAGTGAGACATCATGAGGTACAGTTGCAGACTTACACATTTTTGTGCTTGGGTTTCAATTATACAATGATCAAATACCCATCCCTCCACCAGTGCCCATTTCCCACCACCACGGATCCCAGTATCCCTCCCACCCCCCATCTCCCCCATCCAACCCTGCTTCTGTGGCAGGGCATTCCCTTTTGTTCTCTCTCGCCTATTGGGTGTTGTGGTTTGCAAAAGAGGCAAGAGGTGACAATCATGTTTAGTTTATAGTCTACTTTCCGCATGCTTCTCCCATCCTGGGAGGATCCTCCCAACACCTTTATTTGGTGTTCCCTTGACTATCTAAGCTCCCTTTTCCCCTAGTATGTGTGGTTGGCCTCCAAGCCATGGAGTAAAATTCCTGGTACTAATCTCGGCCATTCTTGGGTTTTAGTCTCCTATTTTGTTATTTTATGTTCCCCAGATGAATGCAATATTTCTATGTCTATCCCTTCCTTTCTGAGTCATTTCGCTTAACATGATACTTTCCATGTAGTACCACTTGTATGTAAATTTCGTGATTTTGTCTTTTCTAACAGCTGCATAGTACTCCATTGTGTAAATGTACCAAAGTTTCTTTAACCAGTCATCTGTTCTCAGGCACTCAGGTTTTTTCCAGATTCTGGCTATTGTAAAGAGTGCTGCAATGAACAGACAATTGCAGATGTCACTTCGACTATACTTTTTTGCCTCTCTGGGATAGATTCCCAGGAGTGGTATTGCTGGGTCAAATGGGAGCTCAATTTCTAATTTTTTGAGAATCGTCTATACTGTCTTCCAAAAGGGCTGAACCAGTCGGTATTCCCACCAACAGTGAAGGAGTGTCTCTTTCTCACCACATCCGTGCCAGCACTGGTTGCTTTTGTTCTTGTGGATATGGGCCAGTCTCTGTGGTGTGAAATGATATCTCATTGTGGTTTTGATCTGCATCTCCCTGATGATTAATGATGAGGAGCATTTTCTCATGTGCCTTTTAGTCATTCGGATTTCTTCTTTGTGAAAGTTTCTATTCATTTCATCTACCCATTTTTTGATGGGGTTGAATATTTTTTTTTGTGGAGTTCAATCAGTACTTTGTATATCCTTGACACTAACCTCTTATCGGATGTGTATTTGGCGAATATCCTTTCCCATTCTGTAGACTGTCTTTGTATTTTGGTCACTGTTTCTTTTGAGGTGCAGAAGCTTCTTAGTTTAAGATAGTCCCATTTGTCTAGCTCTGTTTTCACTTGCTTGGCCAGCGATGTGACATCTTTGAAGACACCATTAGCTTCTATGTCATGGAGGGTTTTGCCAACTTTTTCCTCAATGTACCTTATGGATTCCAGTCTGATGTTGAGGTCTTTAATCCACTTGGATCTTACTTTTGTACATGGAGTTAGGCAGAGATCTGAGCCCATTTTTTTGCATGTAGCCGTCCAGTTTTGCCAGCACAATTTGTTAAAGAGGCTTTCCCTGTTCCACTTCACTTTTCTTGTCCCCTTATCGAAGATTAGATGCTCGTATGCTTGGGGGGAGATGTCAGTATATTCAACCTGTTCCATTGGTCTTCAGCTCTGCCTTTGTTCCAGTACCATGCCGTTTTAATTATTACTGCCTTGTAGTAGAGTTTGAAGTTAGGGAGGTTGATTCCTCCCATTTTCTTTTTCCCAAGAATTGCTTTAGCTATTTGTGGGAACTTATTGTTCCATATAAATTTTAGGAGTGTTTGCTCCACTTCTTTGAAGAATGTCATGGGTATCCTAATAGGGATTGCGTTGAATTTATACAGTGCTTTGGGAAGTATTGCCATTTTGACAATGTTAATTCTCCCGATCCATGAACAGGGGATATTTTTCCATTTCCTTGTATCCTCTTTTATTTCCTGAAGTAGAGTTTTGTAGTTTTCTTTTTACAGGTCCTTTACTTCCTTAGTTAAGGTGATTGCTAGGTATTTGATTTTCTGGGGCACAATTTTAAATGGGATGGTTTTCTTCATGTCAGTTTGTTCTCTTTCACTGTTCACATATAGGAAAGCCATGGACTTTTGGGTATTGATTTTATAGCCTGCAACTTTACTATACAAGCCTATTGTTTCTAGAAGTTTCATGGTAGAGTTTTTAGGATTCTCTAAGTATAGTATAATATCATCTGCGAATAGTGAGAGTTTGATTTCTTCCTTTCCTACCTGGATGCCTCTAATATCTTTTTCTTGCCTAATTGCTATTGCAAGTACTTCCAGTACTATATTGAACAGCAGTGGAGAGAGTGGACATCCTTGTCTCGTCCCTGATCTTAGGAGGAAGGCTCTCAGTTTTTCGCCATTGAGGACGATGCTTGCTGTAGGCTTGTGGTAGATGGCTTTAACTATATT